ACACACACACACACACACACACACACACAAGCTTAATACCACTTTTTTTTTAAGATGATGTTTATTGTTGTCATACACTAGAACATTTTAGTTAAATGGTAGACTGAATGACATCTTAATGGAACACCTGTCTTCTGAGGTGTAGTTCATACCATTAATCAGTGAATCTGATGTCATGGAAAACAATGATTTGTAGAAAAGAACATTTACCAGAATCTGACATTCCCCCCTTCCCATTAAAAATGTTGGGGGAGGGCTGCCTTAACCCTTTTGCAATGGGTACTGCTTTAAACACTTTTCTGTGCAAGTCACTGTGTTACATTCCAAATTTAATTATACACCTTTATTATCGACATATGTGAATGAAATTGGCATTATAATCTATATTATGATTTGAAGTTTTATGTTATCTACATTTTAAGTACTTTATTTGAAAAGAAACCTTTAAAAAACTACTTAAAACTTCAGATGTATTGTCATGTGACCAACGAGGTATGAAAATTCTCTACTTTGGCACTGTATCTTCACTAATACTATGGCATTTGCATAGAAGTATGTATAGACAGATGCCACACCCACCATGAACATATTTGTTTGAGCTTTGTAACCTATATGTAAATGTTACATACACATGTGTCTAGTCATTAGAAAGAGCTCATTTTACACTATAATCTAACAATGGTTATTTTGAAATTGGCTTGCAATTACATGTAATTGACTGTAGTATTGTTGGCTGCTTGATTGACGATATCACGTACAGTTGTTCCTTACCTAAATATGTTATAGTTAGAGAGACAGTTTAAATTGTATTTATGTCTTACTATTATATTTTTGTTCATTATGTATTAGTTGTGTTTTAAAATGCATAATTTAAGGTTTAAACATTTTTTAAATATACAACATACTTTGCATCAGTTTTCAAGGCTTGCAATATTATGAGGTGCATGAGAATTTTGCCAAAGTATTGTGCATGTCTGCCAGAGACACTGTAATATGCCTCGATGGCACTGTTGTCTTGTGTCGAGATTAATAATAAATGGTAAAGGACAAGAAAGAAAAATAAAACATTAAAAATTAACTATATGTGAAAAGGAAAAGACCTGAAATTACAATTATAACCAAAGGAATATCTTTAAAGATATTCTACAAAAAATCAAAAGGTATGTAATTTTTCCTATTTGCTAGTTTTAATTATTTCATTGCATTTTATGTTGGTGATAATAGCTAGAGTTAGTGATATGGTAGAGAAAATGAAAATAAAATAAACATTTACCTTAAAACACTTTTTATAATCATTTAAGAGGTTCTAGAGGTTATGCAAATGAAATATGAAAACTATAAGATAAAGAAAAGTATTTTTATACTTAAAATGAAAATCACCTTGCACTTGAACTATTCACAGTTTGAGCGTAACTAACTATTATAGATAAATAAAATTTTTATTAGAAAAAAATAATTAAATTAATGTAATTTTTTTTGTGTACAAGATACTTATAAACTTTAACAAACTCTTACCAGTTTTTGTGAGGAATGCACAGAGTTATCATATTTTTGGTGCATAAATGTTCTTCCCTTGTCAAGCGGATGGTAATCACGTCCGTCCATACTGAAAGGGTTAACAGGATATGAAGATAGACCTTGTATGTGGCATAAGTTGTCAATGAACGTTTCTGGCTAGGGCTAGCTCCTAGACTATATCCTGGCTAGCCTTGTGAGGCCTGGTATTAAGTAAAATGCCTCATTGGCACTGGATATAGCAGTTATAGTGTGGTTAACATACTGTTGTACATTCTGCTATATTTTTGCTTATAAATTCTTAGAGTGCATAGAAATAAAGAGTGTTTACAGTACTTAGTGAAAAATATTAAACAGTTTTGACACAAGTAATGAAAAGCTGCACAGATTTATAAGTATTGTTATCTGTACAGTGTATGTAATTTTAAAATGTTTTCATGTAATGTTTATATAAATTGTTTTATATATTTTCCTTTTCTCTTGCAAAGTGTAGTAATTGTAAATTATGACAAAAGAAAAGACTTGAAATGTGGGAAAATGATCTTCCCAGTTCTTGAAAATGTTATAAATAATCTCAATGTCCCAGACATGTTTTTTTAGAATTTAATTACACTTTTCAGAAAATTTGCAATGCACAAGAATTTATTTCATATTTTGTTGATGTAAGATTATAAGTTCAATATTTAGTTTCCAAGACTTAACCTAATTTCCTAGCTTTAAATTTTCATACATTTTTTTTTTTATTAAGTTAGTAAGTGATATTAAGTTATATCACTAAATTATAGTTTAACTTAATTCAAGATACATAAAAGGAACACTTAAGGAAAATGTATGCAAATTTGTTTTGCTCATTATTGCCAAATTTGACAAATCCACAGTGCTTTTTAAGGTTTATTGATGGATGTATCATGGTAATCTTATTTTCATTTATTTATCATTTGCATTGATAATTTACTTTTACCTATAATATAAAATGTCTGGATGACTGACTAAGAGGATGAGGTGTGATAACGATAGATACGCATGAGAATACTTTAAAGTAATTTTTATAGGACTGAGGTAATAGTTTGTATTAGAAGCTGTAAATTGTGTAAAATGAATACTTGGGTTCACTATTTATTAAGAACAACATTATTCTAACATGTTCTTAATTCTTAAATGTCTAAATTCTTAACTCTTGAATGTCTAAAAAATTAAAATTAATCATTTTATATCCACCTTCACTTTTCATTATTAACATGATATATAGATATTTTGGTAACATGAAGTGACAGTTACTTACAGTTTGCATGTGAATTATGGCTATCAAAGAAGTTGAAAGATTATGTCAGTCAGAGAGATGGCTCAGATAATTAAGGAATGTAAACACCTGGGACTAGTTATAATTGATGACAGTAAACTGTTAATCCATTAATTTACCAAGTTTTGATGGACCACAAATTCTGAGAAGTACTGTTTTATCCACCTCCCATCAAATGGTGAGAGAGACTATTGAATTGGTAGCAGAACAGTTTGCTAAAGTCTTGGGACTGTGGGATCCTTCATGGTGAAGACAATTTATGTTTATTCTAAGTTAATGCACAGAGGATGTTAATGTATAGTGACCATGGTGTTTATACTGGACAAATAAGTAACTCTTTTGAGTTTCATTTTCATATAATGAGTTGATTAATCCACTTCTTGTTTATAGTTTGAGAAACCTTGTGTGAAAATTCCCTGGAAAGCCATCACACTAGCTGTGTTTCTATTTGTTATTGGGATCATCTTAATAATCATTGGTTCACTTCTACTAACTGGTTACATTGATGCCAAGGTGTGTAAAATCATTTTTTCATTTTAGCTCATAGGAAAATACTTGTATTTTGTATACTAAACTATGGTAATCAGAAAGATGTGCATGAAAATCATCATACATTGTATATATGTTATCCTCATAATTGCTGATTTGAAACAGTGTATTTAAATAGTTCCAAAAAGTAGACTTGTGTTGCTTATTTTGTAGTGTTTTACATCATCATTTCATACTGGGGAAGTCGGTGCCTGTGACTCAGGTGTTGTTGCTGTCCATACAAGTACGAGAATTCCACAGCATTTATTTTCGATCACCTTTTCCTCTTGAAATATCTTATTGTATTACAGCATTTAGCTGCATGGTGATGAAAATGGTGATATATCTTTTACAGATTTAAGGGATTGGTCATTTATTGCTACATCTCCATTCTAAATAAGGATGGTTTCACATTGAAATTAGATTATGTTTTAAGACCTTCATATAGTTAATAACTGAAAGTGGGAAGAAGGGATCAGGGGTAATAAAGTGGAGAAATGTGACTAGACTACCAGCTGAGTTTTATCAATTAACTAACACACATGAAAAATTACTTTTCCTATTATGAGCTTTAGATCTGTTTTTCTTTTGTAGTTACCTATACTTGTGTATTCCAGTGTAAGAGAATTTTAACAGGCAAAACCAGAATGTTTACATGATGGTACAGCTTTGCATTCCTGGCACATTCGAAAAATTTGTTTTATGTACAACTGAGTGGCAGCAAGTGACACTAACGCATTGTCCTTATATAAATTTTTACCTGTTCATCTGTTGTCAGTGATTAGAAAACATGCCTGTTACAGGAAGGTATAAGTTGTCTTACAAGATATCTTTAGTTGATATATAGTGCTGAATCTAGTAAAATAGGTTGAGAATGTAAGTAAGTTTGCTAGAAATCAGTCAGCTGTTTAAATGATGCATCTGCTGAGTCAAAATCGAAACAAAGATCTGGGGATACTAGGCAACCCCCACTGCAGTTGTAGGTACTGCTACCAAGTAACCCAATGGCCAACAACGATCTAATGTTGGGAAATTTTTTGATGGATGAGCTTATTGATTTGACTGTGCATGAGAGTAATTGTCTTGAAAACCAGATGATTAAAGAATCTTGGTTATCTCATCAAGCTAGATTGAAACATTGAACTGATGTAACTACTGACAGAAAGAGAGAATTCCAAGCTCTAACTATATTGGTGGGTATAATTCAAAAGCAACAGCATGAAATGTAATGGCTTCAAGACACCTTATTTGAAACTAATATTTTTGATGACACTGTGTCTAAAAAAAAAACTTAGAATTTATGTTGAGATATATCCATTTGTTGATAACACTCGGCTTCCAGAAGATGACAGACAGTTGCTAGACATAATGCACCACCAGAGTTTTAAATCAACTTATCTGCCTGAACAGAACATCTCAGTTGATGGCTACTTGTAAATTGATATCTGTGTGTGTGTGTGTGTGTGTGTGTTATATATATACACACACACACACCACACCACAAATGTGTACTTGATGTTTGGGATAAAGATGCAGGAAAAGGGGAGATGAACAAGATAAAGAAAAGTATTCTTATACTTAAAATGAAAATCACCTTGCACTCAAATTATTCACAGTTTGAGTGCAAATTAGAAAGATGCAATTAAAATAATGTCATTTTTTAGTGTACAAGATACTTATGAACTTTAACAAACTCTTTTCAGTTTTTTTTTGAGGAATCATCTTATCTGCATGAACAGAACATCTCAGTTAATGGCTACTTGTAAATTGACATCTGTGTATATGTATAGCACACACACACACACAACAATTTTGGGATAAAGATACAAGAAAAGGGGAAGATGAACATGGAGTTTGGAGAGCAGAGATTTAGTGCTACAGGAACTGTGATGCCCAGAATGAAAGAAATGCCCAAGGTTTTGTATCTAAAAAAAATAAGGGGGGGGGGCAGGCTGCATCATCAGCTTCTGGAGATTTGGTTTCAGTAAAATGACCTGACAAGAAAGATACCTTAAATGTTATTAAATACAAACTCTGCCAAGTTTAGTTGCTACTCAAGATTGATAGAAAGACTGTGTTACAAAATTGCAACATGTTGTTAAACATAACAAACATGTGAGAGTGTTGATCTTCTCATCCAGTGAATAAAGTTGTACAAAAGCATGAGGTAGACCAGGTGCTGGTATCAAACTTTGTCCTTTCGTTTGCATGATGTAGTGTTGTACAATTCATTCATAATCTATTATAAGAGTCATGATAAGGATCTGGACAGCTTGGCTTTCAGGCTTAATGTCAGGAGGCTGCTAGAAACTTATTACAGTGGTAAGAAAAAATTACTAGAAGACAATAAAATATGAACCATGTGCACAAATTGTGGAAAGACATTTTCCCACTCATGTTTCCTCATCAAAGTATAAGAAATATCCAAGGAGATTGTGAAAAGTATGTCCTAAAAGAAAATATATGAGGTAAGAATGTATACCTTTTGGAATTGTGCCACTACATAATGAAAACTGCTTTGAAATTTATCACATCCAGAAACATCTGTATTTGTTGTAACTTGAGGCTGGGAATAGTAAATAATGTGCATATGACAGCCAAATTATAGGACTTCATAAGTGAAGGGAGGCAATCCTGTGCTGCCTTGGCCAGTGATAAAAACTTCTCTAGTGTGTATATGACACTCAAGACCATATAATATTATGTCTAAGTATAAATGTATGTGTAAGGTTTTGAATTGTGAACAAACACAAAAATCAAAATCCTGCAATTAGCTTGAAAAACCTACCACTAAGGGGCCCACTAAAATGACCAGTTAAGAGTTTAACCCAGCACAAAATTAGCATAAGAACTTCAATAGTTCTTCCTTTTTTTTCCCTTAATATCATGAAGTTGAATATTAAAGTGGTTGTATTTTCTTGGTAAACTCGGAAACCAACCAAAGGCCTAGGGAGTTTTCTAAAATGCCCCAAAAAAGTATGATTTATCCTCTTTTGAGAGTGGGTTTTGGTCTCAATTTTCATGTATAAGAATTGAGGAAAAAACGTTTTTTAGTTATAAGAAAACATGTTTTTTTTTTTTCAGTTATAAGAAAACATGTTTTTTTTAGAAGATATTAACCCTTATAAGGCTCTTGATCAAATGAGGGAGTGTAGTTTTATCTTCTAAAAAGTACAAAAATATTATTTTATTTCATT